TTGTCGTTATGATAGTCAAGTAAATAATTAAATAAGCTTATAAGCAGACAAATCGAAGTACTGTAATTGCAATAAACTACTTCATGAACTTTTCTTGACCACAATTACACAATTATTGTTGAACCTAATAACTTTGTTGACTTATAATCATGCGGAAAAGTAATAGACAATTGAAATACATTCGTTGCACTCAAATCGCATATATTTCAGAAAATAAAATTTTTGCAATTTATATATAATAATTAGACCTAAATATAATAAAAGTACATATTTCTATCTGTAAATAATATATATAAGAAGTATTATGAATCATTCATATATATAGAAATGTATCGGTATATATGAATAATATTATTATATAGAATATATTGTATTATGTAAGAAATTTAAATTATACATATATACAGTTGAACCTCCAATAGCTGCCATCTTTCAACAATGCCACCTCTAAACAGCGGCCATTTTTTCAGAAACGTATTTTTTCTTTTCTTTTCAATAAAACTGCGTACAGTACAAAATAACCTCTGAACAACGACCATTTTTTGTTCTCGTTCAGAGATTTGGCCGTATAAATATATATATAATAATTATAATTACTTGCTAATTTAGCTGAAAATTATCTATAAATTATCATTTTATTAACATAAAATGATAATTTATAGATAATTTTCAGCTAAAGCAGTAAGTAATTATAATTATTTTCTAACAGCAGGTGTTAAAAATAATATATTAACGATTTAAAATAATTTTAGAAATTAGCTTAAGAGTAATTCATAAATTTGTAAGATTAATCAAGCTGTTTCTAATGTTATTCCTCAATAAAAAAAAAACATGATTATTGTGTTATCTTTGCTGTTTATGTGTATATTACAACTTTTATAGATACTCATAGTGTATGACTCATGTGGATAAATGATGTTGTATGAAATTTGAACTTGCTTTTACGACCACATTCCGTCGCCTTTATATTTCTAGGTTCATAGAGTTACAATACAAAGTATAAAACCAGAACGTCTAATAATGAATTTATTATTATTTTTTAGTTAATTTGAAATTTTTCACGAAAGAAAATATTAATATAAAATTTTAAATAATCAGAAATTACTGTATATATTTTGAATTTATTAAAATGATAATTTATCAAAATATTTAAAAAAAAAAACACATTGTAACACGCGATACTTTGTGGGATATTAATGATGTATCATTTTATTAATAAAAATTTGTTAACAAATTTTAGAAACTAAGATTAAAATTTTTAAACAATGATAATTTGCTATTCAAAAATTTAGTTTAACAAAATTAAGTATGCAAAATTTAATAAATAAAGACAAGAGTAATTATATAACTTAATCAATTTTAGAAACTTAAGGCACGAAAAGATATCGGCATGGAATTTTTAAAAAGTTTTTCAATAAATCTTTTTTATCACGAAGATAAATCAACAAAAATCTACAAAAGTAGATTGAGAACAGGAAAAAAAATATTTACATACAAAACTTAAGAATGTAGAATATATAGAAATTCATTGAGGAATGGAGTATGAATACTTGTACAATTTTTGTATAAATTTTAAGTTGTTCAGAACTTAAACTTATACAAAAATTTCTTTAAAATTCTATCTCAAAAATCAAGCCAACTTTTAAAAATAAAATAAATCTGAAACTTAGTTACGCATATATATATATATATATATTTATATATTAAAGGAAGCATATGACTTTTTAATGATTTCTGAAATTAGAATGTTGCTTATTTGCTCTAAGCCTATATTTAGTAAGATATCAAACTAAAATATAGAGAATAATTTCGAAATTATAAGAAAATATTAGGAAAATATATTATTGTTACATAAATCATTAATTGATTTGTACATTATATAATAAATTGCGCTGTCAAATTTCAGAAAATGATTCTCTTAATATTAATAATCAATTATCGATTTTTAGATAGGTAGCTAAATTTATTATAACCTTATATGTCTACATACAAGTATTATATATTATAATATTCATGAATTATTATATAATTTATATATTAAATATTTTTACCTGCTTAAACTTACAGGTTTTGTATTCAACTAGTGAAGTTGGTATCTACAAATATACTATTTTTCAAAAATTGAGTTAAGCAATTGAAATTTTCAATATTTTTTCACGAAATTAATATTTTGTGAGAAAATTATAAAAGATTATGAGATCGATTTCACCTTTCATTATGCTACAGCTTAGTATCTTCAAACGACAAGTAATAATTCTCTTGAAACTATAGGAGTCCTATTAAAGAACTTTTACAGTAAATTTATCTATTTTCTATCTGCATATTAATCTATTTATCTGTTAATCCTCAAAAATTTCTATATCTAAGAGTTAACCAGGTTTAGTGAAGTGCTAAGGATATTATTTACTGTCACAATATAAAATTGCAACTTTGTGTTAATTTTATTTTAAAAATATCTAAAAATTAAATACTATAAAATATACTTTTTATTGCACATTACACATTAATAATTCAATAATTATTTAAATATTCTTTTTACATTTTATTCGATTGTAAACAGCCGACATTTAAACACATTTCCTCTCTTATCTTATGCAAATTACCACTTTAACATTTATAACAAAATAATAAACGTATTTGTAAATCGAAAATAATGTATTCTGTAAATTCTTCCAATCATAAATTTTATCACGATAGTGATTAAGAACGATTCAGTTTATTTAATTTATAAAATAGTAAAATCAATTAAATCCGTTTAATCTTAGTTAGTGCATCCATAAAATAAAGCAAATATGACATCAATATCACGCTTTTCGCTTGATTTAAAATCATTCATCCACGGAAATGAAGCAATCATATCCTGTCTTTCCTTAACTTTTCTACTAACATACGCACAAATATAAATATACACTAATGAATATATTTTAAGAGCAGGTATCATCTAAAAATAAGTAACATTTTTTCATTATTTTCTCATTCGTTCGTGAAAGTAAAAATAAAAAAAAATTCTACAGCAGGAAAAGGAGGGAGATTAGAGTGTTGAAGCCCTACACTTGGCAATGGTTGCTACATCAGCAAACGTCTTCAGTTTGGAAATAGGACATACATTCGGCTACTTGCCAGATGGATAGAAGAGAATCGAAATGTCTGTCTCTAAAACATTTTTTTTTCATTTATATTTTAATATTTTTACAACTATCCACGCCAATTTTCTTTATTTTTACAAAATGGGATAACTGTAATATACTTCACAGTTTTCTAAAAATATCACATTAGACATTCTTTTATATTTTTTACGGCATTTTTTTAGAATATCGATAACAATATAATGATCGTTGCTTTTTAGAAACGTCAAATAAATACTTTTCTTAATGCCTACCAATCGATATTATTCATTTACAATTTTATTAGAAGATAAATTTAACAATTTTAGAATTAATCTTTCGTTATAAATTTATATCCTGTTTAATTACCAACATTCAAATTTATGAAACTTAAATATATTTATTTATAAATTAACAGTAATAAATATTATAAATCAGCCGAGAGAAATTTATAAAATTGATATTAGCTTAAAATAAATTATTATTATTATTATTATCATTTCTATTAATTTTATTTAATAGTTACCTTTTCCAATTGAACGTTTTAATTACATTAACTTGCATATTTATAGAGTTATAGATTATTATTGAAGCATAAAATATCTAAAATCATTTCATAAATTTGATATTTATAAATACGTAATTCTGAAAATGTAAAATATATTTAAGAATATTATATTAATCTAAGTAAAAAATTAAGTACATAATGAAATGAATATGTACAAATGTATATGCCATAAATTTAATAAAAATTTAATTCTTCTAAATATATTTTATACTCAACTTCCCTTACTTTTATGGATTATAAAAAGAAAATCATGCTTTTTCCCCTCGTCCGTCCGTTCGTCTGTTCGCAAGTTTTCTCTTAAAAATGCCAATTTTGTAGGAAATTTAATAATGGTGTAGATAGATATATGACAATCATTCCACTTTCTTCTTTATATTTATTTATTTAATCAAAACTGTCTTAAATATCTTATTTTTATGTGTTTAAATATAATTAAATAGTTCAAATAAGAGAGTTTTTAAAGTTTTTTTTAACTTTATATTTCTTTTTANGAAAATCTCGTCGAGACACTAAGTCAGACCCAAGACAAAGAACCAGCCCCATGTGCGAGGTTTAGCGCAGTCCAGAGAGAAGAGAAGAGGACTAGCGACTTAATTGGTGAAAGATAATAGTCTAAGAAAAATAAGTGCCAAGATTTATACCAGGAATGTTGAATATACCAAAGTCGGCCGAGAAAACCCCCGCAATATTCGGAAACCACCATCAGGACCTCCTGAGCTAACTACCGGTAGACCTTTTCTGTCTTTCCTTCCCTTTCCTCTTATTAGTTTAATATTAGATTAAGTTAGATATAAGTTAATTATAAGTTAGTGAGTAGACCATATATTGTGATCATTAAATTTTGTAAGATTTTGGACGAGAGTGGAGACCTGTTGTATATTCGTGTTTGTCTCTGACGGGCATCTCTGTAGAACCTGTTAGTCCCTATTATAATAAATTATTGTTTAATTTATATTCGTTGGAACGATTTGTCTCGTACATCTGTAACCTTCACAATGGATTGTTCATCATTTATCTCATTACAAAAATTTTTATGTATAGCCAACATGTCTATTCATTTTAAGCAGAAATTTAAATGTATTCATCAGGATCCAGTCCAGTAAGCCGTATTACATTTAAATTATCATTTAAAATTAATTCAATATATTTATATTAAATTCTTACTAGAATTAAGAAGCGATTCAATCTAGTGACTATTAAATTTCAATAAAAAGTTTTCTACTTAATGTTTGAAACAATATCAACAAAAAAGCTTTATTGTAAAGTCAGCTACATTACACTACTGTTATACTATTATAATTAAAATAAACAGTTATAAAATTTCTACTGCTTTTCATCCTAATATTGTTTACAATAATAACTACAAGTTTGTTCTTATTTCATTTATATCATGGTATAAGAGGATTATAAATCAAAGCAATAATTAAATTTTTAATGTTTCATCAAAATATTCACTAAATTCTGTTTAATTAATTGAGTTATCATTATCAATTCCTTCTTAATAACTTATAATTTTGTCTATTACTTCCTGCTTTATGGAGGTCTCATAATTCTTTGCTATGTTTCCTAAATACTTTGAAATCTTTTAGCCCATCATTAGAACTTTAAATTTGAGAAGAAATTTTGATAACCATCAGATAGAATAATAAAATTTTTTAAATAGAATTTAGAAAGAAGAAAAAATAGACAGTATTCTATCTAATATTTATAAAAGTTCCTTTAAAATTTATATTCTTTATAATGAATTGAAAGGCTAAAAAATACATGGATATTCAACTATAATATCTTTAATCAATCATAAGAATATATATTTAGAATTTGGAGAAGCTAGTTTTAGATTTACAAGTCTAAGCTTAATATTGTATAAAGTTCTATATTTCATGTAGGACATATTTTTTGTCAGGAATATTTTATTAATCATGATGAACATTAAATTAATTTGATTAATTTGATGTTTCATTGTTTCTTTTCACTCAGCATTGAAAAAAGACAATGAAAAACCAAGAAATATTAACACTAAATCTCGAACCTGTTACTGGTGTAAATCGTGAGAAAACCTTTCTTCACAAACGTTTTTGAACTTTTTAAAATCACAATGGGTTTTGTTAAACAAGCATTCGATTTTGTTTTAAATCTTTATGTTCTAGTTTTTGAAGCATTCCATCCGTTTTACCTGAGGAAGAACTATTTTAAGAAGTTCGAAAACGTTTGTGAAGAAAGGTTTTCTCATAATTTACACCAGTAACAGGTTCCAGATTTAGTGTTGATTTCACCCCCCAGTGTTACGGTGATGTTGATTTTCTGATTCAAGAAATATTATGTATAGTGAGTTATAACATGTCAGCCACATCAAATTATTAAAAATATAAATAAAATTACTAATAATTTAATTAAATAAAAATATACTTAAATTAATATTACCATTAGAGTCAGCAGACCAAGCTCTCTCTCTCAATTTCCGATTTACTGTATTTTTTTTTTCTGGTTTAAAAATTACTTCTATAAGTCCATTACCTTCATCATTGTACAGAATTTCAGCTTCTGGTGGAGCATCACGGGCCCTTACAAACATAAATTTCATAGTGTCATATCGTGGTCCTTCAATATATTCAGTGCTGTTACCTTCTAATCTAAGTTTTGCAACAATGTGAGTATCCACAAAAACATCTACATCACATTGTTCTTTATTATCATTTACTAAAAATATAGTATAATTTTTACCATTTTGCATTTCTACTAGAACACCATTTGATGTATCATAAAATTTGCCAGGTATAATACCCAGTTTAAAGTTGCGTTCTTCCATAAAATTCACACCAAGAGGTTTCCAATCATTCTTTGGCCGTGTCTTTAAAAGTCTTTCTCTAGGAAACCAAGATGACTTATTTTCTGTATGACTGTTTAGTTGAAGTGATGACTGATCACTTACTTCAGCAAGTAAAGAAAGAGATTTTTGGACTTTGGTTTTATTTATTGTAAATTTTGAAAAGTTATCAGTTGATGGTTTAATACTATTAGTAGTACATGATATTGACACAGGAGTATTACTACTTACAAAAGGAAATCCAGATTGTTTTCTAGCACCATCATAGGAATTGGTAAAATAATCATTTGGACATTTGATAATAGATTTTGGATGCTGAGATGTTGATGAATAAGAATTTTTAGGTGGAAAAGAAGGTTGAAATCTTTCTAAATTTTGTTCATTATGTGCATAATATGAATAGCCATGTTTTAAATTTTCATCAGAATTTATGCATGAATCTGTTACTTGAAAAGATGTAGAAGAGTGTCCTTGAATAAATGAAGAATTATTCATCTTTATGGAATCAAATCCAAAATGTGGTATTTGAGAATTATTTGTAGCATTGAACAGATTTTGGTTATCATCATGATTTTTATTTTGATTCAAAAAAACTTTGGTATTAGCTGTTTGGATACAAGATGGACTTGATACATTTGATGAAGTGACAAATGAGTTTGTTTGTGCTGTAGTAAAATTTAAAGATGCAATTGTTGAATTGATATTCTCATAAATTTGATTTGAATTTGATGGTACTGATGCAGAAGAATATATACAAGATGGGGATTTAAAATATTCTGGAGTCAATAAACACTCATCGTTCTCTTTGCTAATTTTTAGATCTAAGGAAAGTTTATCTAAATTTGTTCCATCTTCTGAAAGCTGATCTTTTTCATTTAATCCAATTTCATCAAAAGGATGAGGATCTGCACATTTCAAATTGCAATCTTCTTTATTTACATTTTCTTTGTCATCATTGCTTTCAGTACCGTTATTAATAGTGTTGGTTTCATTTATAATATCTCTTTCATATTTTAAACCTGTAATGAAAAATAATAAATTTAATATTGATAATTATTNAATAAAAAAAAACATTAAATTGTTTTTTATTTCCTAAATATATTTATATGTATTTATCAATTTATTTTGAATATATTCTATTGTATTCAAAACTCACATTAAGATGATTGATCGATTTTCATGTTATAGAAAAGAGAATTACTTTTGTTAAATAAATAATGGAAGATATCAAATTCAGAAATTTAAATCTTAAATTATATTATTTGATTAATGGAAATATTATCAATATCATTTGCAGTTTCTGATATACACTAATATTGTTCGTAATAATTTGTATTTTATATGCGCATAATTCAAATATTTTCTAATAAAGTTTACTCGAAATTCTTATTTTTCTGTTTATTTTTTAACTATTTATAACATTTTGATACATATACAATTTTAAATCTGTTCTACTAAATGCATTTCTATGTTTTTCAAACAATTTGGCAGAATTTCAGTCCTTCCTTCACCGAGCTTTTTTTAAATAGGCTCAATCAAGCTCAAAATTACTCAATTATCCTATCAAAAATTGATGAAATCGCGGTATTCTTCAATTTTTCTGAATTTAAAATCCTACTTTTTCATCTGCATTCAAAATGTATTGGTTAAATTTAAATATCTAATACGTAGAATTTCTATAAATTATAGTTTTAAAATAAATAAATAAATATAAAAATTTAAAAAGTATTCTATTATATAATTTTCACATTCTATTATTCATTGTTTTATATACAAATTATTGTAAATAGATATAAAAATTATACCTTAATTTTTAATAGACTACATATGAATTTTTAAAATTTATTTTTTAAAACCTGAGAAAAATGGAAAATAATAAAGTTGGTTTTCATTTGGGAATACAAATAAATTGATTTAAAAATATATTAAATTAATCTTCAAATATATCTATTATATATGCAATTTGACGAGAAAAAGGGAAAATAATTCAATAAAAAAAAATAGTCTGTCTCGATAAAATTTACACAGTGTGAAAATCCGCTATGATAAAATTCAACACGGACCTTTCTAACTCAATTTATACTGATTTTAATAAATTAAGCTACTTTTAAGTCACTAGGCTGCTATTCAAATACAACATGACTGACCTGAATATCTAATGATCTGTCAGCATAATGTTTACAACTGCACCACCTGCTTTGCAGCAAGTACTTGTGACTCGATGTGAAATGATTTCTATCCTCTGCCTATTTAAAGCCATGATTAACGAACGTCCCTTATTCGAGATAACTTTAGTTACAAAGTATTCAACATATGCATCTCAATCTATATATGTCACTTTATATGTAAGCATTACTCTTAGAAATAGAATGTAAACTTCTTAATTTTGATTATATATCTCCTAGTATAGTCTACACACCTCCTGATGTTGAACATAAAAGTAGCATGTTTACTTTAGCAAGGAGCGTGTGCCTCTTATTACTTGAGCACGACTCTTAATATGAAAAATGTGCGTTTTGATATTCGAAAGTTTCTCGTTAATAATGAAAAAATAGTTTTACATACGAGTTTCTTGATATAGAATGTGGGTTCCTTAATATGTAAGCATGTGTCTCTACTTATGCAAAAAAGAATATTTTACTGTTTGTAAAATATTATTTACAAACAGTAAGCATTAGTACAAACTCAATGACACGTCATTAGTTTTCGTTTCAAGAATTTTGTTGCATCATCCCATTTGTCCACTAAAAATACAGTAGAATGTTATTGGCCTTCTTTTTAATTGGGATGCAATATGTCTGCCTTATAATTATTTTTATTTAATTACAGTGGAAGTTCATTAATCTGACACCCAAAAATCCAGAATGTCTGGTAACCTGGCAACCTCTGAAAAGTAGCCATTACTCTGAAATTAGCTGATGATAATTGGCATGTTAGGATTCTACAAATCATGAATTGTTTGGATATGTAATGTACTAAAGATCCTGATCATAAATACTGTAAATGTCTGGGAAATGATTATTATATGTGAGGTGACCAATCATCTTCCTTTAGGGAGGACAGTCCTCCTTTTGTAAGTTCTGTCCTCCCTTGAAAAGTGTCCTCCTACATGTTCTCCTTTTTGATATTTGAAGACTAATCTGTAATTCTCTGTATTTGATCAATGCTGAACTGATCTGTTGCGTGTGATGCGATATGACATGTTTGTATTTAACATGACGATTCATCAAGGCTCTGTACAGTGTGATGAGATGCAATTATGAGACCTTGAGAGAGAGAGAGAGAATGCGTGCAAATGGCTTTGTTTACTTCTTACTGAAACACGACATGGCACCTATGCATGCAGTAGAGATTATTATAGTGTATTATTGTTGCAATGAATAAAATGTTTTTTATTTGTGATATTTTTTCCTTCAATTTATTAGTGTCCTTCTTTTCATTGTAAAAAAGTTGGTCACCTTACTATATGTATCATTATAAATATTAATTTTGTGCAATAACATGTTCATTAATGCTTTTGTAGGTTTCTTAATCAATTTTAACAAGTATAGTCATATATTATATCATCTTCAGACTGATTAAAAAGCTTGTGTAAACAAAACTGAAAGCATGCAAGAGTGTGTACTGCTACAAAATGTATAATAATGCCAGTAATGCTCATATTGCATATAATTTATCAAATTAAAAAAAAAATACAAAAATTCCTGGTAATCCAACATTATTCAGATTGCTATTGCTGGATTAATGAACTTATACTGTAGTATTAAAAATTTCATATAAAATTAAAATATAGAATAACTTATAGCATTTCTTCATACAGATTCTCATATCAAATAAACTCCAGACTTATATTTAAATAGTCTTATATTTAATTTAAGCATCTCTTCATATATATCCTCATATCAAATAAACTTCAGACTTATATTTAAATAATCTTATATTTAATTACTATTAAGCAGTTGTGAGAAACTTTTTCAATATTTGTATTATAGTTTTCGACATAATTTATGGACAACCCTATTCTATGTCTACATTTTTCTTGAAATTTTTAATTCTCCTCTCCTTGTTCCAGTTTGTCCAAGTTTCCATAACTCCCTCCCTTCTTCAGACATCCAACAAAACTCAACCACCCTTAAAATCTTTATCACTTTATAAATGAGATACCATATGTAGAAATGAAACAGACAAGAAATTTTGAAATAAATGTAATAAAATGCATGAACTGTATAAAATTTAATAAAATAAACAGATGTCCACTGAATCTCAACCTCTCCTCCTCATGTCTGACTTGTCATAACCCCTCTCTCGCTTTCATTGTGGATGTCATTTATGGACAGCCCCATATATTTCTAAAAATGCAATCATGTAAAGGCCTTGTACATTTTAATTTTGCATGACATGCAACACTTTGAATTGAATCTATTCTAAATAATTTTTTCTATGTTCTAAAATGTTTCTTTGCAGTTTGTAAATAAGTAATAAATTCATTTAGTTAATCCATATTCATGTTTTGAATATGTAAACTATATATAAATGAATGAAAAGAATGAATATAGATTAATTCAGAGATGGAAACTTTCTTAATCAGAATGCGAAATCAAATTTCAAAGGTGTCTCCTATGACTGCAAGTTACAATAAATGTATACACTATGCACTATCACAAAAAGTGTCTTACAGTAAATAATAATATGAAACAATTTTCTAATGTCTGTTTACATTAGCTGTTGCTGATTTTGAAAGATCAAATGATGTGTCTGGAGTGAAATAAAAATTTATCATATGCATACACTTGTCAACCTTACATTATTATTTATAGATATAGATGAAACTGACTTGGTTTTGAAATGCAAAAGCTGAGAAATAAAAACAACAATTTGTAGAATGATTGTCAACAAAATTATGAATCTTTTAACCATTTATTCAATTTTCGTTCTCTTTATCACAATAATAAAATTATATAATTGGCTTTTCCTGCTAGATGGATTACTAGTACTAAAAATGTAAAAAAGAAAATAATAGTCCGTTGTACAATATACTGTATAATAAGCATTATTTAAAAAGTTAATTATCTATTGAAAAATTACAAAAATTAATAATTCCTTATAGCCTACAGTCTAGAGCTATATAGTCTAGAGCTATATAGTCTAGAGTCTACATTTCAAGCTTCGATTAAAATTGTTGTATGTGTACAAGAATTCTCATATGTCTGGCAGAGAATTTCTATCTCAGACTGACAGATTGACAACTGCTTCCAAAGGTGGATTCTCAGCTCAAAAGACAGAAGATTTGCAAAAATGGATATAGCATCAATAACCTATAAGATCCAAAATCAATTCATGCCAAAGATCCAGAAAAACTGCTTCCTCAATAAAAATAATTGGTAATCTTACTTTCTATAAAATTCTATCAGCTGTGCATTATTGATCTATTTTAATATTCTCTATAATGTTTTTAAATGTATTTCTTAGTTGCATTTGACAAGCTTATATAATTTTTTTCTGAGAGATGTATTATGAATATTTTAATGCATACATTACTATGTATTAATACATTAATGAAAAATTAATGCAATTTTATTAACTTTAAATATGATAGTTAGATTATTCATTTAAATAATTTACATAATGCATTGTTTTAAAAGAAAAAAAAATAGATACACTAATTTACCTGTTGGTTTCTCCTGTAATATTTCTCTTTTTAAACCTTGAAGGTAAGGTTGCAACTTTTCTATGTCTTTCTGTAAATGTAAATTTGATAAAATTATAATTAGTTTCATATTAATTATCTTAACTGCTTAACTACATTAATTCTTATAACTTATCTCAATATTGATATAAAAAAGAATTTTTAATGTTAACTATTTAAAAAGATTATGTATTCTGAAATTCTAAACTGATATACCCCAGAATTTTTAATGTTAAACATATGTGAGATCACTGTGTGCTGTGTGATTATGCTCATGGATTCAGGATGGAAATATTTTTTGTTTAAAGATGGTCAAGATCTTTTTAATGTCAAGATTCCTGACAACAGTTAGGAAAGAAAAGAAAAATGTCCTAACTCATGATATTTTGAAAATTATACCGATTCAAATGGCTTATGAATCCAGGAGGGATTTGAAATCTTTTGTGAATAAGACAATATAACTAGGCTGGAAAGTTTTTTTTATCATATATAAAATATATTTATTTAAATTCAATAATATAAGTACTTTCAAAAAATGATAAATATAAACACAACACAAATGTTAAACAATCTCTAAAATATCAAGGGTCTTATCGAATAAATCTACTATAAGTATATTCTTTCTTAGCTATTTTACTGACATATCAAATTTATCTAAAATCAAAGAGAGAGAGTTTACAGGTTTGAGAAAATGCAATACTTCATTTGTTTTCTTCTGAGTCATTGACAGGGCTGACTGCATTTTCCTATATTTGATGGAAAAAATCTTTTTTTTTTTTTTTTGGACACCAAGTTTTTTGGAAATTATGTTTCCAAATCCAGCTCAGCTCTCTGAGCATTGGTGTCAATCCTATTTATAGGATATTTGTATGACCAATCATTTAGGGCTATTCAAGCCACTTAAGGAGAGAAGCAACAAGGAACTTCTTTGTGGAGTCGATATCAAAAACAGCATATCTCCTCAGGAACTTCCTCCAAAATCAAAAGAAAGTTCATTTGTGACAAACAAAAATGTTTCCTGTTTAACAAAATTTTAAAATTTTCTATTCAACCTAATATATTAGTCCCTAGGTTCTCACACATAGTTAAATTAACATTAAAAATTCTTTAAAAATCTAAGAATTAATATACATATATATTAATTTTTTAGCCTCAAACAAAATCTTTTTCTACCAGTATTGAACTTAAAGAAAACTTCCGAACATTTTCAGCCTTCACCAAGGCCTGCTTCAGGTGCTGAACTAAACTGGCTTCCTACTTTGAGCCAATATAAATGCATGACAAATGGTTTGGTCATAATCTTTGGAAGACTAAACCAAATGTCAACGAGTTTTTGTCATGTTTGAACAACAATGTGTATAGTCTTACCATTAAACTAGATCAAATTAGTAACTCTAATGCTCATTTCTTAGACATCAACATGCATCTCAATGGTGACAAAATAGAAATGAGCGTTTATTACAAACTGGGCCACTTTCCACTATTTATCTCTGCAAACTCGTCTGATCCTTTTTTGTATAAAATCACAGCCTTCCATGCCCTAATCAGATGGGCCTTTACTCATCATACCAATAGGCATCACACTCTGCTAGAGCTACAACGTATAGAAGATATAGTGGTTGAACACGGCTACAGAAGAGGCATGGTTCGTAATTTAGCCCGCATCTACGCCAACCAACTTGCTCCATGCAGCGTTTCTAACACCCTGCCTACGTCTAACAGTAGCACATCCAGTTCAATCAAGATTTGAACTTCTTATACAAGGAAATTGCTAACCAGAATGGCACAGAGATCGCATACAGGAGATCCGGCACAATTTACAAGCTGCTACACAATGCAAAAGATAAAATAGATCTTAGCAGAGCCCAGGAGTTTACTCCATTCCAATTAGGGATGATAGATTCCAAAGGGACTTAATTTATATTGGCTCAACCATATGTTCAACTTGCAAAAGGACACGTGAACAACAATCTGACCTTACAAACAACAGGCACACCACCGCCTTGTCTACGTACGCCACCAACCCAGAAGTTCATGCGGACTTCCGAAACACCAGATTAATTAAAAGGCCTTTCAAATAGGCCATATTCGTCACCTGGAGGCCTTGAAGATTTATAAAGCCAACTTAAGAGGCAACTTAAGTATTAACTTTAAGAGGCAACTGTATTAACTTTAAAGATGGTGAGACTGTTGCGCATGCATGAAGATACCTGTTCGAGGAATTCGAATGGAGTCAGGCAGAAGGGTGAAATTTGATATACAGTATACAAAGTTTAAAGTCAAACAGCATCATTCTAATGGCCAAAGTAGGAAGCCAGTTTAGTTCAGCACCTGAAGCATGCCTTGGTGAAGGCTGAAAACGTTCGGAAGTTTTCTTTAAGTTCAAAACTGGTAGAAAAAGGTTTTGTTTATGGCTATTTATTTCTCACTCCAGTATTTCCGAGAAGAAGACTGTTATATTAATTTTTCATTGCTAATTGAAATGTTAAGATAAAATAACATAATATATAGAATACTGGAGAATTATTTTATAAAGATTATAATTAAATAACCATAAAAAAGAATAAGAAAAAAGATAACCATATCCTTTTCACTTTAATATTAAATAAAGTGAAAAATTACAAGAAATTCACTAAGAAATGAATTGCCATTTCTATAAATAAATTTGAGAAATATTGCATAATACATTTTCATTCACAAGTCTTTTTCATTCCTTGGAAGTACAGTATTTAAAATTTATATTATAAATATTCATTTAAGCATTTTAATAACAACATAACAAAAATATATCAGATTATAAAGTTTTGAAATTGCTAAATCAAGTGCAATCTCCTTATGAAGAGAGGATTTTTTATATCAAATAAAAATAATATATACACAAAAAACACAAAAAAGTAAATGATGTTTCTTCTATCATCCTCTCACTAACAAAAATATTTTTTTGACAATAACAGCTTTTTTTTAAAAAGGTTGCTTAGCTGTATCTAAAAATGCAAAAATGGTAAAAAGTCTGTGGTGAAGTTATGAATTTATTCATTTTAGAGTACAGTAATACCCCGAACTTACGTGATAGGTGGGACCGAGCGATAACCGTGTAAGTCGGGGTATAATTTTGCAATTCATGTAAAATCCAAGTCGGATGTATGCAAGCTAATAAATGTTCTCGTTAATCTTATCTCATCTTTTGATTCGTTCACGGTTACGAGAAATCACCACATAGAGTCTCTCGAGTCTCCATAGATATAACAAACACAGAAATAAATAACACAAAATAAATTGTAGCTACGCGTCGATTCCGCACGACACATCTGAACATGTAAGCCAAACAATAGTGTGGGGGAAGTGAGTAATCAAGAGTTGCGTGGTGCTCAAACAAAAGACGAATCGACGAGATTTGAAAATCGCGTAGCTCGTGTAAGTCAGGGTAGCGTAAGTCGAGGTATTACTTTAATTCATATAAGTTAAATAAGACTGAAATTGCTTTGGTGAAATTATACTTATATTTGTGCAGGGATGACAAACCTATGGCATGCATGCTTAAATTGGTACATTGGGAGAAATCATCTGGCACATAATGTGTCATAAGATTTCTGTTTATCACCTAACTTTTTCAATTAGCCTTTTGGTTCATCATCTAATCATCCTTTTTTCCATCATCTTCTTTATATTTATTCTAATTAAAGCATTTTCATTTCATTTCTTTAAATATCATTATTTGAAGTCTAAAACTTCAGCATACATAAATATTTTTAAAGATAATTATTCTCACTATAAGGCACAAAACGGTTTGTCATCTGTGTATTAGTGAAAGAATAAGGGAAGAAATATTTACAGTTTTTTTTCTTTTGCAATCATTCTTTATTGCTTAAAAGATATTAATTCATAATTTTATAAATTTTTGTTTTATTAAGGTATATTAAAGTCTGTCTAATCTTATAATTTTAACAAAAATGTAAACAACTGCTTCCTATACATTTCATATCAATGTTTTTTTTCTTGCCTATAATAACTTTAAATCATAATAATTGCTCAATTACATATTAATTACAGATTATATGCAAAGCTTGAATTATTATAGTAACTTACATTAACTCATAGTTAATTACAAAACAAAGCACACATTTTTACCTCATTCTGAACTTCCAAGACCACTTTAGTACCAAGATGAATTATACTGTCTTTAGTTTTAATATATAATTTCTGATTTGCTTTTTTTCCTTCAAAACTAGAAATTATATCATAATTGATATCCTGTTCTTTATTATCCGATACTTGTACAACTTCTAAATGTTCTTCACACTTGTTTGAATCCATAATAACTGAAATGAATAATAAAAATATTTCCATTTAAATTTAAAGATTTGAAATGACTAGAATTTCAATAATTAATTAATCATAAAGGTTATTCTTACTTTTATATTGCAAATATTATTATTCTAATAACTGCAATTGATAATCTTCATGCAATTAGTTGTGTTTTATTTCAGTTTCTAATTCTTATCAGTTATTTTTTTATCATTTTATCAAGTTCAATGCTCTTCTGAAAAAATTAAATGCAAAATAAAATTAACTTATTTAGAGTCATAGGAATGATTTTAGTTTCATAGTTATGAATCACGTGCATTTTATGTTGACAGTTCAAATTTAATGTCGATCAGGAATTTTAATATAAATGATTCAAAACATATGGAGTGCCGTCCCAGTATGTTTTCAAAAGTAAACCATGAAAAAATATAACAGACAAAAATTGCAAAAAATCATCGAACACTCAAGAATTCGAGATAAATCTCAATATATCGCAAATGAGCATATTGTTATTTTACAAGGTCTGTTCAAAAAGTATCGGACCTTTGGTCGGCAAAAATAAATTTATTGACTTTGAGGTACAAAACCCTAATCCCCTTCAAAGTAGTCTCCTTGGTAATGTATACACTTCTCCCAGCGTTCCTGCCATTGCTGGAAACACTGCTGGAACGCATCTTTTGGAATGGTTATCAGCCGGTCCGTCGCATTTCGCATGATGTCTTCTCTCGACTAAATTTGGGTTCCTTTTAGCGGCATTTTCAGCTTGAGAAATAGCCAAAGGTCACACGGAGCCATGTGGAGAGAGTACGGAGCGTGACGAACCACAGGAGTATTGTGTTTGGCGACGAAAGCCCGAATCAGATGCGCAGAATGGGCGGATGCGTTATCACGATGGAGCTGCCAAGTTTTGATCGACCACAGATCCGGTCGTTTGCGTCGCACTGTATCGGAAAGACGACGAAGGACCTCCTGGTAGTACTCCTTTGCGATGGTTTGGCCTTGTGGTGCGTACTCACGACACACCACCCCACGAGAGTCGAAAAAACTGTCAACATGACCTTTGATATTGCTGCGGACCTGCCGCGCTTTTTTTGGCCTCGAGGATCGTCCCCGAAAGCCTGCTGAATCTTGCGAATGGTTTACACTCGGGTATCGCCAAGGTTTTTGGCAAAATTTGATGTAATATCGCTGCTCACGTTGTTCAGTCATTTTCCAGCTTAGTGAAATCCGACGAGAGCGCACTACATGACCTCACTCATACGCCGATTGCCAACGACTGACGCTTTCTGCAGGCGGGAAAAAATTCAGGGCTGTGCATGACTGTCCCCTCCACAACTCCACCGAAGGAGGCCTCTTTCGCATCATTGGTTTACGCGGAAAAAAATAAGGTCCGATACTTTTTGAACAGACCTTGTATATTGCATATTGCATAAGCTTATTGTATAATTTTACATTGTTAATGATTATGAGAAAAATGGCCTGCAGAATTTATTACATTTGGATGCAATAAGTATAACGTGATAAATTTTAAAAGGATTCCTAAAATTGAATCTAATTTGGAAGATGCTGTAAACAATGATATCGGACTTTACAGACATTTTCTAAAGTAACAACGTTCCTTCCCCTTTTACTTGTAACAGATTTATATTAATACATGTAAGAAATAGATAATAATATGTAAATAGTCAATTTGGATTTAATTTTGAAAAAGGAAGAGCCCACGAAATTAAATTAATCTTATAGTATCTGTAACAATCTTGTGATATTCACTGGATTGTTATCTTAAGGTTGTTGCTGGTCAGCCTTGGAAATACTAAATTTGCCGCCCTGGAATCCAGATGCAAAACTGAAAGAAGTCATAGAGAGAGAACCGGTGGGAGGAACCTCCTGAAACCAGAGAACAGGTAGACGCAAATCACCTTCAGAGGGCTTGGAAAATACTTGCTGTACAGATAATTTTTGTGCAGAATATCAAATTTTAAATGGCTCATTGTATTTTTTATTGAATAAAACCGTCGATTTTTACGGGTTCCTGCTAGTTTGGTAATAATTTTAACGTTGAGTTTAAAACCCTATTTATTATCTGCTTAATGTTTTATAATTTACGATTATATAACAAATATTTATTAAGAAAAACTATTTTGTTATAAATGTCCTCCGTTGTATAATGTTCATTTTTATCTCATTACCGTGTAATAATTATGAAATTATTGTGAATAAGTCTTGAACAAATAGTTACAGGGGAATTTAATAAAAGAAATGTACAGTACTTGGTAACCGTAATAGTTTTATTTCTGCAAAATCTCGAAAAGCATAAAATTAATAATAAAACATATTTTTAAACTTTTGGTCATTTTCAGTTGCAAATAAATAATGCTCATTTAAAATCTAAAAATTCTAGAGAGTGGTTCGTGTCCAAAACACAAAGGAATCTTAAAACTTGTTGTTTTATATAATAATCACAATTTTATAAAACAATATACTTTTATTTGTTTCATTGATATTATTTATCTATTTTTATGGTTATTAGAAAAGGGTAGGATCCATATCTACTAGTCCGAATCCCATCACACCCCTCTCTCATGTGAGTAATGATTTTACTACATTATAAATAAATTCATCTTACTGAATAAAATATTTTCTGCTTATTTATTACTATTTCAATTAAAAATTAATACATTTTGTTTTTATAAGATATATTAAGAGAGGTTGCGGCCGACGTTTTCAACGCGAAAACGTGTACGTCGGACGTTCAGCGGCGCCTTCCTGTAAGCCTAGAAGTTTGACAATAGCTCGACGTTCTAAATGCCATTGTCAAACTTCTAGGTTTACAGGAAGGCGGAGCTAAACGTCCGACGTACACGTTTACGCGTTGAAAATGTCGGCTGCAACCTGTCTATTCTTTATTCTTATCCATTATAGAGAATTATACAATAAAACAAACAAAAGAATAAAAACACTCAAATTTAGTAATAGTAATAAAATGTATTTAGTTTTATTATATATTGATAAAATATTTCTTTTGTAATTAATCTTTTATTATACAGTCAAACCTGTCTATAACGGAACCTGTACACAGCGAAAACCTGTCATTAACGGAAAATTTCTTCGTAATTTTATTGGAATTTGAACGGAAAGTTTTTGCGTATTTTTATTAACAGCTGTGTTTATTTAACATAAACATGTGATGTAATTAAAAGTTGTGAAAATTAACACATTATTCCCGATGCAAAATTGTATTCTTTGTTTTGAAGCTTATTTTAAACTTCTTTACATCACATTTCGTTTGACGAGTCAAACGAAATGTTATAAAATAAAATCAAGTCGAAATGTCCGCAGATAAAATGCACATCGGCATGCTTTTCAAGTTTTGTAAAGGACTAGCAGACCCCGCCACGCGTTGTTGTGGCTCAAAATGTATCTATTATAAATGTATAACACTTCCCCCGTGGGGGAGAAATTTTTCGAAAACTTTCTTCTTAGTGTACATTCTCTTGACGTACCCTATTAAAACGCAATCAAAAATGCAAAAACCCGCATCTAAAATAGTATAATAGAAGCCAAGTTCTTCACGGTAAGCCTTAATCCTGTCCCTCTCCCCCGCGGAGGGAATATCGAAAGATCCCTTCTTAGTATACATTCTGTTGACGTACCCTATTAAAACGCAATCAAAATCGCAAAAAAACCGCATCTTAAATAGTATAAATAGAAGCAGAGTTCTTTACTGTAAGCCTTAATCCTGTCCCGCAGTGCGGAAAATTTCGACACGTATATGATATAAAAACACGTGCACATTCGAATTCAGCGTTGTGTCAAAATTTAAAAGGAATCGGTAGGAACAAACGAACATTACATTTTTATTTATATAAATAGATAGAAGATGATCCGCTTTAATTCATTTTCACAAAAAGCATAATGCCTCACAGAAAAGCAAACTTAGGGCGTCGTACTCGTAGCGCCATCTGTTGGACGTAAAAGCCTTAACCTAGATGATATCTTTTAATTTATATGAATGTTTAACGGAATAATATACAGCCTGTATATTATTCCGTTAAACATTCCCCGAAGTTCCATTCTAAATATTGGTGAAAGAATTTTTGAAATCGGATGAGTAGTTTCGGAGATTACCCGCTACATTCAAACTTACTTACTTACAAACATTACCTCTTTATAATTAGTATAGATATCACACTATACAAACAGTTAAAATACATTAATCGAGGGATACCTATTTATATTAATCGAGGTAACCTGTTTATAGCGGAAGAGTTGTTCGGTTCTTTGGGATTCCGTTATAGACAAGTTTGACTGTATAAACAGTATTTGTAGTTATTTTTATTATTAATTTTCATTCAATTTTATTGAAACTTCATTATGTTTACATTTTCTTAAGTAAAATTTGTGTATAATATAAAAAAATACACGATATATATTTTAATGTATAATTTTGTGCTATTCATTTAAAATATTTACTTTTTGATCAAAATATTTAAAAAATGAATTTAAAATACTGTACTTTTATTAGCCTAAATGTAAGAACTAATTAAATTTAATTAGCATGTAAAAATAATCAAACTAGACAATTATAATGGCAAATAAGGTTAAAAATTTGTTTTAAAAACTACTTTTATTTAGCATGTTTATTTTTCGAGATTAGAATGGAGTATGGTAGGACTTTACCACATTCATCCTAAAAGCTGTCGTGAAAAATTATAGACTATACTTGGCTTCAATTTTTAATCTTACTTTTAATTTATTTTATTTAAAATATATGCTCTCCACCTCAAATTAGTAATGTAGTGTTTTACCCCTGTATAGAATAAAACAATACTCGAAATATTAATTAAAAAGCTTGCTCGATCTGTTTAGCGTGAATTCATTCATTATCATTTTGTAGCCTAATTGTTTTATTTTACAATTTTTAAATTTTAAATTGTTTTATTTTTAAATAAAACAATTTAAAATTTTTAATATATTTTTAGACATTTTATTTCTTTTTTTAAATATAAATTTATTCAAATTCAATTGTTTCATTTTCAATTGAATAANATGAATCTATGTTGCCAGGATATCTCTATAAAGCATGGTTTCGTTGTTGTTCCGATAATTTCCAGATTTGTAGATATCAAGGCCGTCTCGACGATGCAAAAGTGAGATAATTATATATTGTTTCAGAAGTGTAAAATATAAATTCGATTAAATATTTTGAAATAATTTTAAAACATTTTATAAATTTAGAAATTTTTGGATGAGGCCATAAAGATTTCTTCGGAAAATAATAATAAAGAAGATTATTATACCACTCGAGTATATGAAGCAGATTGGTTATTAGCTATAGGTCTTTTGAATAAGGCGATTGATGAAATATTACTTCCTATATTAGAAAATCATGAAATATCAGATGAAATTAGAGGATTTTTACTACCCTTACGAAATGCTTCTGAAAGTCTTTACCAGTAGCAATAGCTTTTAAGTGCTCTCGAAAGCAATATATACCAGTAACGTTGACGGAAATCATTTAATGTGAGTTTTATATAAAATTAAATAAAAACACTCGAAATATTAAAGCTTGCTCGATCTGTTTAGCGAGAATTAACACTAACGGCATAAACTGAACACAGCAGTTGTGTATTTTGACGCTGACGTTTCCTGTTATTTCACAACTGTAAGTCATAACTGAGTCACTATCAGTCAACCAATTGTAGACGTTAAATGTGAAGTCACTTTTTGTTCACCAATTAGGAAAGAGTATCATTTTTTCTTTGCAAAATTTTTCTACGATATGAATTTATCAATTTCTCTATAATGAGAATTTTATACTTGATTCGTTTTTTTGTGTTCTTTAAACACCGAGGTAACTTATATTTGTAAATATCTCTCTCTATATTATAGTAAAATTAATTTGTATATTTTTATTTTATGTAATATGTAAAATAATTTAACTATTTTATATTTATAATATAAATACATTATTAGTTATGTATGTTTGATGTATTTAGCATGGAGTTCTTAGAAATAGATAATAACGAGAGTTTGAAAGAAAATGCTATGAAATTATTAAACAGTTTTGATGAAATGTCAGAAAAACTTAAAAATGATGCAAATGGAAAGATACAGTGTGAAAAAGCAATGAAGACAGGAAGTAAGTTGCTTTACTTATTTATCACTAAATGTACTGATTATATATGAAAAATGAAGTTTCGTTTAGGTTTAATAACCAGATAATTATCGCTTCCTTTCGCGTCGCGTTGTGCAGGTCGGCGTCGCGTCGCGTCGCTTCGAAGAATATAAATTTGACGAAATAAATATAAACAAAAAATATTAAAAAACGTGAAAACTATTTTTTTTTAATGAATTTAACGTTTTTATTCTTATTTAATGTTATTCGCATTCAGTTTAAGTAAATTGATTTATATGAATTAAATATACTTAGTTTAAAGGATAATGAGTCAGATACAGGTTACTTAAATAGAAAAGGCTTCTATTATAATGGTTAATGATCTTAATGTGTGATAATGTTAATATATCAATAACGAAACTAGTAAAAATGTGTATTTCAAACAAACTGCACGAGGTCGACGGTACGATGCGACGCGAAATGGGTTGTCAAATCTAAAAATACTGTATATATCTAACGTTCTAATAGTTATTATTGGTATAGTTGTAGTGGGAGATGGCATATATTGTCTTCGAGACGTCGGCAGATTTGATGTATAAAAATAAATACATAATGTAGTTATTTTTTTACTGAATTTAAAAAATTTTCATTACATTTTAAATACATTTCTTCAGATTTTATTATTTAGTCATAAATATTTTATGATTATCATTTTATATGGTATATTTAAAAGTGGATATATTTTGAATATATCTTTGAGCTTTCTATTGTAACGCTAATTATCATAATAGGTGATAATGTTACAGAAATAACTGATACAGCATATCTATAAAATTTCCCAGTTATTGCTACATTTTCCTATGAAATGACGTAAGATGATACGACCTTTATATCATGTGTTTGTATTAACGAGTTGAAGTCATACTATCAGCAAAAGCTTACTCTATTGACAGTTAGTTTTATATTAACAATTACTTTCTATATATAAAATAATTTTATAATTTAGTTATTATCAATTTATAATATTTTTCAGATAATGACGTTTGTAATTCTTTGTTTTAAATTAGAGAGGTTGCGGCCGACGTTTTCAACACGAAAACGTGTACGTCGGACGTTCAGTGCCGCCTTCCTGTAAGCCTAGAAGTTTGACAATGGCGTTTGGAACGATGAACATGATTCCACTGACGTTCCAAACGCCATTGTCAAACTTCTACGCTTACAGGAAGGCGGCGCTGAACGTCCGACGTACACGTTTTCGCGTTGAAAACGTCGGCCGCAACATCTCTATTGTATCGTTCAATGCATGTAAACTTATTTTAATTTTATATGCATTGAATAAAAATAATAATGCAATGAGAATTATTATCAAAATTCAATAATTAATTGATATGATTATTTGAAATAAATTAAATTATATACGCATATTCAGTAGCCAATCGCTTTTCGACTTCTCGCTTTACGACCTTCACTTTTGTTATACACAGTAATTGGGATACATTATCTGTAAGATCGTATTAAATGTCATATTTACATCGTGCCATTTTAGTCATTTTACTATAGTATATTTTATCGATAGTTCAAGATTTATTTCGAAACAGAAACTCAGTTTATGATACTGAACTTACTGAAAATTAGACTTCGATTTACGACACTCGCTTAGTGACGATTTCTCTGATCGATTAGGACAGTGGTTTCCAAACTTTCTGTACATTCGCCCCCTCTTTTTTTTAGAAAAAAATTGTTGCGCCCCCTCAATTTTTGTAACAATGCTGTCCTTATAATTTATTTAATGGTCTACAAAACGATATACCTTGGTAAATAAAGTATATTGTTTACCTGGGTTCTGCTCTTGTCGAGATGTTTCGGCAAGAGTGTGGATGGAATTTTTGCATTAGTACCCGAGTCGTTTGGATGAGGTTGTGAATTAGGCATAACCGTTTTGCTGATTCAATTTTTCGACATCGCTTTGACTTTTTTATGTTTGTTTGTATTAAAAAATAATAATTTGGTATAACAGCTCGCTTCCTTGCAATAGCCTCGCGCTCCACAGATTGGAAAACACTGGATTAGGATATAAATGAAATCTTCTGGTTGTCTCCTGTATATATGTATATAAAATAATATATACTGTATATAGGTATATGGAGAGCAGTAAATGGAGATACGCGGCTACCTTCTTCACCCCGGGTCAAAAGACATTAGAAAACAAAAGGGTCGTCCCACTCATGAAGAATGAGGGTTCTCACGATTACATCAAATATTTAGGGGAGATCGGGGCAAGATCGGCATGTTAAGCTTTACTTAAATTTTGTGTAATAAATACTGCTGTAAACTGAAAAAAAACCTTTTGCATATTGTCTATTGGAATGTTACCTTACTATAGAACTGGTTAAAATCAGTTTGGAAATAAAAATAATTAAAATAATTACAACTTTACAAGAAGAGAGAAATTGACGAAGTTGCCCCGGGTATAGGGGCAAGATCGGCAACTTCTCTCTTTTTGTAAAGTTGTAATTATTTTAATTATTTTTATTAAAGTTGCCCCTGGTATAGGGGCAACAGTAATGGGGCAAGATAGGCACGTATATAAAATTATGTTATTAACAATGTATAAGTTGGAATTCACTATTAAAACAAAGAAATACAAATCCAACACCCATTTAATATTATTACAACGAAATGCAAGTTCAAAGACATATATACATGAATAACAAATGCAAACATGTTTTCATTTATCATCTGTTTGATTTTTATCCTTTGCTTCTAATGTGGCTTTATGTTGCCGATCTTACCCCGCTAGTCATGATTTCGAAACATTAAGTACAACCCTGAGAACAGAATGCCAAGCCACGATCTGGCCACGTGAATAAGTTGAAGTTACATCCTTCTAACAGGAAAAGTAACTTTCGTTATCATGGAATTATAACAAAACCTGCCAATTCAATATAAATGGAAAAAAAATATTATATGGAATTGAACGAAAATGAAAATTTGCTTGATAATTCAACTATGCTTGTTGGAGAACAATAAAAACACTACTCTCAACAAGCCACCAATGAAACTCAACTGCCTAACCTATAATCAAAGTTTTTTTAAATTTGTTTTTTAAAAAAAGCGCTTGACAAACTTGCCCCGCATGCCGAAGTCGCCCCGATCTCCCCTATATAGTATTTGATTTCACAGAGGAGAAAGGATATTCTTGGTCTGCAGACGGAGAGAAAAATTCTTAAGTAGAAATCGAAAGAATTGAAGAATTTACATGTATATTATAATATATTAATTTAACTGATTTTAAATAATATTTTTACCAAATAAAAAAATATATTAGTTATGATAATTAGGTCCTATATTTTATATGATTTTTAAATATAGGATTTCTAAAAATGTTATTTATTAGGCTATATCTTGTAATTGACCTAATCTTTCTAAAATATACAATAGACTCTCTGTTAACCGGCATTCTCAAGCAACCCGCAAAACTTCGAAGAAATAATACTTTAGGTAAAAATTAAAATAAAATCACTTTCTAGCGGAAATTTAGGTTTAAACTTGACGTGCCACACGTTGTAAGCCCGGGCTTCATCACCACATGTTTGTCTCTCTCACTGCCATTTAGGCTAACTAAAATTGCAAATGCATTCATAAAGTTGTTTTTATAATAAAACTGTGTTACATTAACCTTATACATAAACTGTGTTTTCTTTATTTATCTTAATTTTACCGTATTTCAATATTGATATCAATACAGAGTTTATAGTATGGTATAGGGTTTAGTATTAGTTAGACTTATTTTTAATAGTAGTTCTCAAGCAACCAGTAAGTACATTTATTGGGAAATTTCCAATTGTCATGCGTGCCCGTTAACTGAGAGTCTACTATAATAATATCAGTTAGATTTAAACTGTTATAACATTTCCAATACGCTGTTTGTATGTTTTCTACATTTTATTTAATAAATTATAAATTCTTTATCACACGGTGATTTCTATGTAAATTTTCGGGTTTAAACGTAATTTTAGGATTAGTACAAATGTAGGATGTACGGAATTCTGTTAAAGGATCTACTAGAACGATTTATCCATTTAATTACTTTACTTTTTGAAAAATCTTCTAGAAACACGCAATAAGAATTCTGCAAGAATTTGTGTTATTTTATCGAAATTTTTGGTGAGATTTCGATATAGGCCTAAATTTTTATGAATTAGTGCGGTTGAAAGCTCAACAAAATAATTCGATATGATTAATACGAATACTTAATATTGGATTTAATATTTGCAATCGTTGATAATTATGTGGAGCCGATATTATCATTCTACTTTCTTATGTACGTTAATTTTAAAGCCTTTTATTGAAAACAAAAAAATTTATTACTTTTAGTATGTAGAAGATTCTGTGAACCGACGGGGTAGAGCGGAGAGCTTCTCCCCACTTACCGACTTCGTTGTCAGAGAATGGCTATAGGAGGTCAAAAGGAGTGGGAGGCGTAATGAAGTCGTGATGAGGTGTCGATCGTACTTAAAGAGAGTCATTAAACTTAAGAACAACACATTTAATATAAAACAAATAATACAAATACATAAGAGTACGTCTTAAATTTAAATAATAAGAAAGTAATAATGATAATATTTCCGCGTCGCGACAATATCGGACAACCGATGTCCGTCTATCCCGTTGGTGGGACCGCCGAAGGTCCTCGACCCAATATTTATAAGTCCTATAAAAAAAAAAAAAAAATAGCGAATATTTTCTAAGTCCCGAGTATACCGAGAGAGAGGGAAGCAAAAATAATCTAAGTCTTTACCTCGTTTGGAGTGGCGATCAGAAGCTAGAAAAGGCAGAGGAGGCTGGAGGAGTCCGAATCCTGGCTTCTTCCTCCGACGATCGCTTCGAGGCGTCGGAGCGTTCCCCTTTTATACTTATTAGCGTGGGAAAAATCTGGGATTCCGTTGACGTATTTTGACAGTTCTCCCAATTTATGACTGTCTCCCCCGTCATGAGTGACAACGTTATAACGTTGTCACTCATGACTGGACAATTTCGGTAACGTGATATAATTTCTCACCGTCCGGTCCACCCTTAGGGGTGACCTTCTTGTCCACCCTCAACACAGGAACACTTGTTTGTTTTTGCTTATTGGTTAGACCTTGTCCACCTTATACTCGAGCAATCCCCTGGGGAGAGGGGAGTTCTTCCGCGGTCGCCTCCGACGACTCCGACTGCACAGGAGGTCACAAGTCCTGGGATCACAAGGTCTGATCCCCGGGCAAAGGGGTGAAAACGGGAGAAATAACGGAAATAATGAGGAAAGAAAAATTCTATATTTTATTTTATTACTTAAAATTTTCATAAGAGAGTCAGATTTTCACAATTCTATACTATTTTACTCACCTCCTTCAAAGGTCCGATATGCGGATAGAATAACTTACAAATAAAAGTCTGTTGAGAGTTAGTGCAATTTTCTTCTTTATAGGAATGTGTTTTGTCTGCATATGGACTTGTTTTCTAAAGTTTTAGTTTATTTTTCTAAATTAAAAATATGACTAAGAACAATTTTTATAATGCTTAAATATTAGCTAATAAAAGTTAATAAATTTGTAAAGATAAAACGTTCTTTTCTATGTTTGAAATGCAACATAATAATTAACTGTAATTATTCTTAAAGAAGTTTAATTAAAAAAAAAAAATGTAATTCAGAACAAAATTTATACAATTATATAAATAAATTTAAATAATTTTGTATATTATAAACTGCAATAATATAACAAAATTTATATTACTTTTAACAGTTTAAATTAAATAATAAAACGAAGCAAAGAAATAAAAAAACTAGACATTACTTTTTTGTCGATATTCATACACGTATAAAGATATAAAATGTTATGTTTTTAGTAATAGACAAGCCTAGATAGATGGTATGCCAGCAAGATCATTTGATCAAGAGTTCCGGATACAAAAAAATCTCTAAAATTAAAATTTCTTTTGATGAGTGATGAAAAATCAATTTATTATTTATTTTACCAATTTTATTAATGTGCTTTTATGGCTTTCGGAGACCAACTTTACTATCCTGAACTCTCGTCGTGCTACTGTCAACTTCTGATAATGTAGCAAAATTACTTTTGAAGTAGTATGATTCATTAACCTCATTAATATTAATAGAACTATTCTTTTTTCTTTAGGTTACTCCGAGATAGTACAGTTCGTGAAACAATTAATACGATGTAATCTTCCACTTTGTGCTAATATGTTGGACCAATTACTACCAACCATTAATAATCCATTACAGGTATTTAACGATTTTATTTTTTAAATACGATTTAAAATTTCAGTATTTTAAAATACCAAAACTTTAAAGATATATAAGTATATTTAACACATACAAGTATAAGAATATTTTGGTTATACCACAATTTTGAAAATACAGCAGTTTATTGCAGTTGTTATATTTTATTGCATTAGTAATTATTTTGTCTATCACTGGTCAAATCGATAAAACCGATAAAACCACTAAACACTGGTAGTTAGTCCCAGTTCTTGTCTGGACGCATGGAATTTTCTGGGTATTTTCATGTATCTAACACCGAAATAGGTACAATTTTCTATCGAAAGTCCCCTGGAAAGCAATCTCTTTTACAGATCGCCCACGTGGTGCATTGTTGTATCCTATCAAACCAAAGATACATTCCTCTTCGTGCTCTCAGAGAGAAAAGAGGTTTATTGGTCCTTCATTAAAAGAAAATCAAACATACAGCAATTTTATTATTATTTTAAATTTGACTTTCCTCCCTATGTGTGCTAAGAAACCTTTTAACTCTAATCATCATGGATTTAGCCTTGCCCACAACAAACCAGCGGGATGAGGGATGAAAACCGATATATCAATCAATACTATCAAGTTTTTGATTCAATTTCGAACTCACGTTCCTCAGAATGGTAAACGGGTGCCTTTATCAACGCGGCCATTCGGCAAAGTTATATTTTAAAATACTTTTAAAAATGTATTTTACGAAAATACAGCAAAACTATAATATGTATCTTATATTGTTAGTTTCCAAACAAAGTTGATTGACACCAGTAGAAATATTGTAGATTTAATCTTCATATTTCTGTAATAAACGTCGATTATTACAGAAATATGAACATCAGCAACGAATACAGTACAGAATACAGTACAGAAAATGTAAAACGTCAGCAACGAATTACAGCACAGTACAATTTATTTTAAAATGCAATTTTATTTACTATAGAATCGAACATTATTATACACATATATTATCTCTTTTTATAGTATTTGGAACTTTTATCCCTCCGAATGAAGGTGGCAATGTCGTTAGAAAATTTTATAAAAGCCAGAGAATTAGCAGATAAACAATATAAAATATTTAAAGACATTTTAGAAGATGAAATGAAAAATGAATCTATGTTGCCAGGATATCTCTATAAAGCATGGTTTCGTTGTTGTTCCGATAATTTCCAGATTTGTAGATATCAAGGCCGTCTCGACGATGCAAAAGTGAGATAATTATATATTGTTTCAGAAGTGTAAAATATAAATTCGATTAAATATTTTGAAATAATTTTAAAACATTTTATAAATTTAGAAATTTTTGGATGAGGCCATAAAGATTTCTTCGGAAAATAATAATAAAGAAGATTATTATACCACTCGAGTATATGAAGCAGATTGGTTATTAGCTATAGGTCTTTTGAATAAGGCGATTGATGAAATATTACTTCCTATATTAGAAAATCATGAAATATCAGATGAAATTAGAGGATTTTTACTACAAAAACTTGGCAATGCTTGCAGGTAGAGTATATATAATAATAATAAAATATTATTAGTGATATAATGTACTACAATAATAATACTACTAATGTAATAATAATATTATTATTATAGTTATTATTATTATTATTATAGTGTAATAATAATATTATTACACTATAGTGAAATAATATTAGTATAGTGTAATAATAATAATATTATTATTATTACACTAATTAATAATAATACTGTATTATTATTATTACACTACACTAATATTATTTCACTATAGTGTAATAATATTATAATATAATATTAGTGTAATATAATATAATATAATATTGTGTACTGTAATAATAATATTATTATTATTACACTACACAATACTACAGCGCTCACATATAAATGATTAACATATGATTTACATAAATAAAGCAAAGAAGAAAGTTCTTTAGCATGATGTTTTTAAAATATAGAAATAGTGCATTAATTGTTTTAAAAATATAGAGAAACAAAATGATGAATCTGTAAAAGATGTAAAACATAAACAGCCTAAAACAAAATAAATTACAAAGAAACGAAATAGTAATATTGAGATTAAACAGTAAAGTTCAAATTAAAGTTTCTTTAATTGTTATTATAGATCGGCAGCACAATGGGGCAAAGCAAAAGAATATTTGAAAAATTCGATCAGGATAGCACAAAAATTAAACGATGAAATTGCTGAATATGACCGTTCCACCGATCTTGGCAACGTTTATAGATCCGAAGGAAGAATAGCAGATGCAATTTATATGCAATCTAGACACATGTGTTTCGCCTTCGAGAGAGGTCAGTTTTTATTTTTTATGTTTTAATTTATTAAAATGTTCTAATTTATATGCTCAAAAATACAATAGGCTCTTACGATTTGATTCGTTTCTAAAAACTGTCGTTAATTAACAAGCTTTTTTTTCTTTTCTTTCTTTCTTTCAAGCTCGGAAGTAAATATTATAAGTCGAGATTTATGTTACTAAAAATATTTTTATTATATGACATTAAAAAGCGATGGTCAATAAAAATACAATAGTTAAATATGGTACTTTGTTTAATAGTAGGCAGGGGAATAATGTATTAAAATACCTTATATGTATTCTAATGTATAAAGAAAACTGATATTTGTGCGGTAGGGGGAAAAATCTTAGAAGAAAGCCTCGTCACTGTATTTGAATGGAAAAATTCTTGTTTTTATATTCCAATTTTTTGCATTTAAACGTTACATTTAATTAATATATATTAGAATTGTATATTTTACATGTGTGAAATTAAAGAAAGTGATATTTTTCTCATTGTTGAGTAAATTTTCATAAAATGTTTTAATTTTAAGATATAGTAGCATGCTAGTAAGTTTGAGTCGAGAATATCTTCGTGGCGATGGTGTATTTTAACTGAAGAACTGAAAAATAATAAAAGTTTTGTTAAATTTCTAACATTTTAAATTGCAAATTCTGTAATCAGCTTTTAAAATTATCTTTAGAATATATTAATTACTTGACAAATACAATTACAACTACAAATACAATTACAAGTACAATTATATATTCCTCTTTTCCAATTTATCTGTTTTATATTGCATTCCAAAGGAAAGAACGATTTTTATCGGCTGGAAATCGTTTTAATTTGCAGGTTTCGCAGTTCTGACTACAATTGACTTCACAATAAACTTGTGTCATAATGATTTTAAACAGTTAAAAATTCAGAAATTAGAGCAAAGTATCTCTACTCGACTGAAATCCAGACCGGCCATATTGGTAATATCCATGTGACCTAAAGTAGCTTCTTAATTGACTGATTTACCTCTCTGTAGAAAACGGTTGTCTTCATTCTCTTTAGATACAAGGACTCTAATTCTGATAAAAAGTTTTTCGACCAACAAAATTAGTATTTTGTTTAATAATTAGTCGAATAACAAGATCAGAGAAAAACTTGAAAGAAAACAAATATAGAAAAATTTTTATTTGAATTTTGTATCGTTGTATCGAGAGTACGTGACTTTTCTCTTTCAGTAGAATATTTTCTTAATTTAATCATTCTCAATTATCATTTATTAGAAGCAAAGTATTTTAATTCAGAACAATTAAGGATTTGTGAAGCTATATTATCGAAAAAACAGCAATGATACTGCTGTGTTTTGAAAATTTCGATGGTATAATCAATTGCGAAGAGATTCAGTGATAACGCTAAGAATAAAGCGAATTGATAATTCAAAGCGATTAACTAAAGAAATCTTTTGTTGCTCAGTTTGATTATTGAATCATTTATTCAAACTTTTAATTGTAACAATCTTAAAGTATTTAAGATTGGATGTAGTAAAGCCAAATGATTGTCGGATTATATCGGGGTATATTACTGCTACTACAGTATTAATTAAATGCTCAGTAATTTGTCACTAGAGGCAGGCGTTAGGCGCCATCTCTTGCTAAATTTAATAATTCTAATTAAATTATAAATCGACCGGTTTTGGACCGATTCTTTTCTCCCAGTACCTTCTAAATTAATTATTAAATTATTAATTTAATTATAATTATTAAATTTAGCAAGAGACGGAGCCTAACGCCTGCCTCTAGTGTCAAATTACTGAGCATTTAATTAATAATAGTAGTAGTAATGTTGCCCGAGACATTTCGGCAATCATTTGCTTATAATATATAACTATATCGGGTTTAAGATGTTCATATTGAATGTAGGATAAAATGGATAAGCAATACAACACGTGCAATCTGCTAAGGAGGACTGATCCCTATTTAGGTGTTAGACATATGAGGAAACCGGAATTTCCAGCCCGTTAGTGAAGCGTTTTACCCATTCTACCATTGGTAGAAAGTTTATTATTAGAAAAGAGTATTAACAAAGACTGTGGTAATTAAACTGAGCTAAGTAATGGCGATGTTACCAGTCGTGTTTTAAGTTGTTTTCGAGGATGCCGAATTTAAATATTTGGTCGGTTTTTTTGCGAAATTTGATTCGTTGGCAGATTACCGTTTGATATTCGCTATAGTGAATGGTACAGTTTTTTTAGGGATGACTTAGAAAAAATGCTATGTACTGTACTTGACCATTGAATCTGTGCCATTTCGTACCATCCCTAAATGTTTCGCGAAAAAACATGACAACTGTAGGCTAAAATAATCAAACTCTTCATATAGTTTTCGTTTTAATGTTTGTTATATTATAGTATTTGATTTATATAACTACGAAAGTTATCTTACATAAGGGTTTATCATACCGAGTGACCAATCTAACATATTTTTAAAGTGTTTTCTTCCTCTACTGTACACAATGTAAAGAATTTTTAAAATGTGCTAGATTTGTCACTTAGTGTGATAAATCCTTACATAAGATAACCTTCGTAGTTATATAAATCAAATAATATAATATAATTTTTTCAGAAGGGTTAGAAGTATGAAATAATCCAATAAATTTAATGTTTGTTACTTTTGCCAGGGTCACACAGGACTTACCTGCTAGTTTATCATAAACTAATAGAACATTTAGGGGAGATCGGCATGTTAAGCTTTACTTAAATTTTGTGTAATAAATACTGCTGTAAACTGAAAAAAAGCTTTGCATATTGTCTACTGGAATGTTACCTTACTATAGAACTGGTTAAAATCAGTTTGGAAATAAAAATAATTAAAATAATTACAACTTTACAAGAAGAGAGAAATTGACGAAGTTGCCCCGGGTATAGGGGCAAGATCGGCAACTTCTCTCTTTTTGTAAAGTTGTAATTATTTTAATTATTTTTATTAAAGTTGCCCCTGGTATAGGGGCAACAGTAATGGGGCAAGATAGGCACGTATATAAAATTATGTTATTAACAATGTATAAGTTGGAATTCACTATTAAAACAAAGAAATACAAATCCAACACCCATTTAATATTATTACAACGAAATGCAAGTTCAAAGACATATATACATGAATAACAAATGCAAACATGTTTTCATTTATCATCTGTTTGATTTTTATCCTTTGCTTCTAATGTGGCTTTATGTTGCCGATCTTACCCCGCTAGTCATGATTTCGAAACATTAAGTACAACCCTGAGAACAGAATGCCAAGCCACGATCTGGCCACGTGAATAAGTTGAAGTTACATCCTTCTAACAGGAAAAGTAACTTTCGTTATCATGGAATTATAACAAAACCTGCCAATTCAATATAAATGGAAAAAAAATATTATATGGAATTGAACGAAAATGAAAATTTGCTTGATAATTCAACTACGCTTGTTGGAGAACAATAAAAACACTACACTCAACAAGCCACCAATAAAACTCAACTGCCTAACCTATAACCAAAGTCTCCTTTTAATTTGTTTTTAAAAAAAGAGCTTGACAAACTTGCCCCGCATGCCGAAGTTGCCCCGGTCTCCCCTATGTAATTCTTGCTATAAAATATTTTTGAAATTCTCATTCAATTCATCCAGCTCCGCAATGGTGCGATCTAGTGGCAAGGAAACGACAGTTGTAATAAGTAAAAATGGTTATAATGTGAATGGTGAATCTCTCTTCCGTCAGTCACGAAAATTATAGCTATTTCTTTATCACCAGCAACCAATCAATAGAATAGTTTTGACTATTTCTATTGATTGGTTTTAAAGATTCTTCTTTTTAAACATCTAAAATAAAGAAATAGTTTGATGCACATCGACTGAGAACCACTGATCTAAATATTATATGGGATTTTGATATATTTTGAGTATTGGTATTTTCTCACGGTAAATTATTTTTCAGGTGACATGTGGGGATTATCAATTGCATGTTTCAACTTGGGTTTTTCGTATTATTCTGTACGTCCAAAGCCTGAGCTGAATAAAGCACTAGTTTTATTAACTTTAAAATATATTTTGTCTAAGAGAATGGATAATGAGCCATTAAGAGGAATGGCTCTTAATAACATTGGGAAGACTTTATGTGGTAAGTAAGTTATTAATTATTTTTTGTAGACTTTTAATAGATATATACGAATTTCTGGTATCTTTTTCAGAATTAAATCAACATGTGATAGCAGTTGATGTGTTGAAAAGTTGTGTCGAAATTGCTAAGACTACAGGAAATGTTGCGGGCGAAGGAATGGCATTAAGTAACTTAGGAACTGTTTACAGATTTTTAGGTAAATATAAAATAATTTCACGAGACTAGTTTTAGTTATTTCATAAAATTATTATATAATATAAAGAAATATCTCTCTATTAATAATGTAGAATACAAATATTACTCATCTTTCATCAAAAAATTAATTTATTCTAATTAAGTTGTACTTAAATATCAAAATATTTCGTATTGTCAGATATTAATTCTCATTGATATTGCCAACTTTAACTGTAGAATAGTTATTAAATGTAAAATATTAATTTTTTTAAAGATGTAATTCTAATTTTTAGGAATATTCTATTAAAATGACGCCTTTAAAAACTATTTTTACCTTTTTTTAATTAATAGGTAAATTGAAATCCAATAATTAAGCAATGTAATCATCCTTTTATCCCATTATAAGTAATTATTAGATTATTGCAGCGATTATTTTTATTATTTATTTTTTAAGTTTCTTTAGATGTAAACCCTTTGGCAATCATTAGCAACATCACAAAAGTTTTCTCTTCTATTAGACTTCTGTTATTTCCAATTAGCATAATATAATCAGTGTACAGAAATTCATTTGTTCAACAGTTGATTAAAAAGTATTGTTTTTACATTTGATAGACTGTAGTAAATATGTATATTTTTGTGGTTATTTATTATTTATATATAATATTTTTAAAGACAAATACGAAGACGCGATTAAACATCACCTTAGTTATTATACTAATGCGGATTCAAGAGGAGATGATGGTGGAAAAGCAATTACACAAAGAGAATTGGCTCTTGATTATATGTTGAAAGGGGTAATTTTGATAAAATATGATTAAAATAAGAAAATAAAATAAAATAATTATATAATTATATAATTAATGTACAGTTTTAAAAATAGGATCTAGAAAATGCAGAAAAATATATCAAAGAAGCTATACTGACATTAGAGGATATTCGAATTAAAATTGGCCAAGAAGATTCATCAAAACTAGCAAATTTTGATAAAAATCAAGCGGAATCATATAATTTCTTACAGGTTTGTTTTTATTTTATGCACTTATAATTCCATAATTGCAGTCGTATAACAGAAAGAAATTTTATTGAAACGAGTTTCATATAAAATTATAAATGCTAATTACACCTTCACCTTATACATCACTGTAGTGTATTTACACACACACACACACACGATTAAATTCTACATTTGGTTATGTTTATTGAGTTTCGAGATGGGAAAGCTAGTAGGAATAGGACAATTTCCCTAAAACATCATTAAAATGCATTGTTATTGGATTTAAGTATGTCCTTGTATTTTCGGCTTTCTGTCTTCTTTAGAAGTGGATGAAATTTGAGTTGTCAGATTTGAGGACATGATAAAGCAAGTATAAAAGAGTTATTACTTTTGACAATAGTCCCCTGTGTTGTGGATAATGTGTTTTAATTCAAGAAAGTTACCTCAATATTTTAAAACATATATGTAATGTAATTACATATATGTTTTAAAATTAATTTGTAACTTCAATATCACATTCTTTCAAGATGATAAAGTATAATTACATTTCATTCTAATATCTTGATGAAAGGAGTTTCTTATATTCTTTTATTATTATTTTGTTACAAAGTTTTCTTTACTATTTTTTCAATTCCAGGAAAAAAATTTTTTAATTTATAAATTATGTTTATAGAGAAAATTCATTAATCGATTTTCTTTTGTTGCAAAAAGTTGAATAAATTTTTAGATGCTTAATAGCTTAATTTCTCACCAAAAAACTGCTTTTTTAGGATCATAACTTTTTAAAGTGATGAATATTTTTTTATTGATCAGTTCATTAGTTTCAAATTTTATTTAGATAACTAGCAAAAGTAAATAATAATAAGGTCCAGCATAGTATACAGCAACTGGTGTCAATGGAATATAACCCACTAAACACAAAATAATAATAATAATAATAATAATAATATATAAATTATAGTTGTTTTTCTTTTTAATTTTAAATTAGAAAAATGATAGACATTTTATTAATATACATAGAAAAATAATAGTTTGAATAATTATATTAATAATAATACATTGTAAAATTTATTTTTATTAAGAATATAAAATTTTATTTAGAAGCTTAAGGCCTGTTATTAGCTTGTTTTTTTTTTTTAATTCCTGGAGGTTTTAATATCATATGCATATATGTTAATAGTTATCTCTGTTTATTTTCTTGGCCTGATTATCATTAAATCTTATTAACTTTCTATAACAAAAAAGACACCAGTGCTTCTTTTTCATTAAGTCTCAATTACTATTTTAGTTAAATTTCTCAATTAAGTAGTTATTTTTTCTTAATTCTCAATTTAATTAATTTTAAACTAACGAATCTTCTTAAAATATTTGATTTAATTACATTTATTTTTTTCAAAGTATATCGCTTTTTATGACATTGACTTTTTAAAACGTGTTATCCTGTGTTTATATATTTTATATTTTTAGCTATTCAATTAAATTTCATATTGTTATAATTAATTTATATTGATTTTATTAATATATCAATGTTTTAGTATAGTAATATAATTATCAGATGGCTGTACAATAAAGTTTTTAAATTCGATTCTCATAGTTTATCATAGATAGTATGGCTAGAGACATTTATTCCCCGTTTCTCACCCATCTCTGTTGACCTCCATTAATTAGGGAGTTTACGTTTTTTATGTAAAGTCTCTAATTATATTACTTTACGTTTGTTATGGACGAAATAGCTGATGCCTTGTGTGCTGTTACCTGGCATAAATTAATCATGGCTTTATATAAGCTGAAAGATAAGTAACCATTCTAAGTAAATTTGCTAAAAATGAAAAAGTATTTTTAATGGAAACTATTAATATTTTTGAAGTTAATTAAAAGTTATTACTCGATCAAAAAGAATTATTAATAATGTAATTTCGAATAAAAACTAAAACCAGAAACTAGCCAAAGACTTATTAGAAACAATCAGAACTTCAAAATAACTAGAATTTTAAAAGAATTTGGTCCCATTAAGTAATTTATAACTATACAATTTTGAGAGAATAATACAGTAGATTAGATTATTTGTGAAAATTAAAAAAAAAAAAAATTGATTAATTCTGTCTTAGTTCTTTCTTCCAAAGTTGTGTTTATACTTTCCAATTCTTTTTCTTAATACCTTTCTTTCTTCGTTGATTCCTGCTACAAATTGTAAGTTAATAGTGCTGATTGAACTGTTCTCGATTATTATACAATCCTGGTAATTCTGCATTGTTTTTTCTTTTTATCAAGATTAACTGCTTGGCTGAATAACATCCCACACTTTAATTTGTTATTTGAAATAATATATCATATCAGAAATTTCATATAATTAATAATATCAGAAATGTAGGAGTATATAATAATAATGGAATTTCTGTTATGGCATTTGTGTTCATAAATTAATATTTATTTTAATTTCACCTTATTTATTTACTGTATTAATTAATTTAAAATAATTTAAGATATTTAATTAAAAGTGTAAACTTTTATTTAAGTTATTTTTACGCTATTAATAATGAATAAACAGACAACTTTTAAACTTTTAAGGTTATATTTAAAACAGTCAAAGTTAAAAATAACAACGATCTAATTTTTAAGAATATTTTGTTTTAAATATTGTAATTCTTCTCGTAAATCTTAAAGACAGAAAAGAATAATTTCTCGTTGTTATTTTGAGAAGTTTTTAAGTTTTTTAACTTTGATTTTTTTTAAATATAATCTTTTAACTTATCAAATAACTGATTCCATTGTTAAATTTTACAAAAATTTTTTAATTAAGCATATTTTAATTTATTAATATTTTTTACACAATGAATTAAATAATTCAAAGTGATATACCATAACTTATTCTTTCTAGAATTAAATAATATTGCAAGAAATTTTGATGATTTAAAATTATTAAAATGGTTAATTAAATAACAATTTATTACAATATCTTTTATTACTTTTCCGGATGTTATATGTAACAGAGGGAAAGTATGGCGATCGTTCAAAAATGACCCCCTCAAGATTTTTACTTTTTTGGAGTTAGGACACCTTGAAACGTCGAGAAATGCAAAAATTTCGGGGTTTTTTTTCCTGTATGTATGGATGTTAGTGTGGGCGGGGCAAGATTTTGTTCACCCTGTTTGAAGCTTATGTGAGGCCGGGACCACACACTCCCCCTCGGACGGAAACCGGCTGTCGAGCTAAAGTCAATATATCGGTGACTTATTACGTAAATAGGACCGGTGTGACCAAGGAACGGGGTGCGAGACGATTTAATTGTCGCATTCCAGCCCTAATTGACAGATTCACGGTCGTCAATCGTGAGAACGATCGAGGGATCGACCGTCGGGGAAACTTTGGACGGTCACCTTACATCGAGTTCAAAGCAGGTCCTACTGACACTCCTGTGGAGGGGGCGGTGGCTGAGACGGCTTCCTCCTCTCCGGGACCGAAAAATAGACATTAGGTGACAATTTACGAGACCGTCATCCGGGAGAGGGCTTGACCCGACTCCGGAGGGGAACAGCCCGGACGGGGGTCATCTCGGCGACCCCTCGGCCCGAATCGCGTCCCTGGCAACAGACCCGGGACCAATAGAATCGCAGGGGGACCAACATTCGGACCAACCAAAACCTCGGGATTTCGGGTGAGAAAAGATTATAAGAGCCCGAGGACCCAAGGACACGGGGAGAGAGAGTTGGTTGCGAGCTGGGGATCAGAAGCCACAGTGCGAGCGAGCGGATACGGATTTCCCGAGAAGACAAAGAGATCACCCCAGGAAGGCACGAAAGAAACTTGGGACTTAACTTCCCGACGAAGACCTCCGACCATCCAACCTCCAAGCCTCTACTTACGAACCGGAAGAAGAGGACTCTCTCCTTCGTTGTGTGGTGTCGTCCGCTCTCCGAGGACCCATCGAACTGTTCGGCGAGCCTTTCGACTGCCGACGAGGCCGACAAGTGTTACTATTGTAAGCATGTTTTCTAATCCAAATAAACGCGTTTGCTTAAATAATACGGTCTCCGTGTGAGTCTTTGCGTCCAGCCAACCGCGACCCCCCATACGGAAAAGGCTTTCTCGTGTCATCCTGACAGATCACGGGTAAAGCGAGGGTTGTAACCTTTTCCACACCCCCTCCTTAAGGGCTCACATCACTACAGTGGTGTCTCCAACTCACACAAGGGCTCCCTTCCTTAAAACCCCACACTTAACTCCTGTGCTTTTTGTCGAAAATTTCTGAAATTTTGTAGGGAAGTTTGTTTGTTAGGGGATTAATGCTATTAAATTTTGATGATTAGAGGTCGAAGGTGTGAGAAAATAAAGGGGGTCGTGTGTATCTCCAGTCGGGTCAGACGTAATAAAATTTTTTTTCGTTATTAGCATTTACAATTTTTTATAAAACCCATCCCTACCCTGAAAATTAAGCTTTCTGCCATTTATAATAGTGTGAGAGCCCGGATTTAAGAATGCTGAGATTCGAATATTTTTATTCATTTTCATCTACCGTTTTTGTTTCGAAACCAAAACGATTTTACAAAAGGTTAGGGTTAACTCAAAAATAGAAAAACAACCGACAAAATTTTCTCATAAAAATCGCTCATAAAACTCAATTCCCACAAAAATACTTCCTTGTAGAAGATGAGTTAACTGTTGTGTCATAATTTTGTCACTTCGCCCACCATTGGTCAAAGAAGATCATCACCTGTGACGTACTGTACATACACTAAGATGGGATTTTTTGAAATTCTCTCCCGCTGAGAGTGTTATACATTTATAATAGATACCTTTTGAACCACAGCAACGCGTGGCCGGGTACAGCTAGTATTTTATAAAATTAATAGTTGTAATTAAAAAAAATGAAATGAAACACAATTTTTGAATTAAATTCATTAACTTTTAATATTATCCTGTTATTTTAAAATAAGATATGAATCAAAGGTTATGTAAACTGATCGTTAGAAATCTTTGAAAGGTTTACGAATTTATCTGGGAGGGTCGATAAATTACTAGGGATCATGTTTTAGATCGATGAACAAATTTATTTTTAATATATTTAAAAAAGAATAGTAATAATAATTGATATACGTTTAAATTTTAGTCAATGAAAAACCTAAATATAGGTAGAGAGCGAATTAAATCATAATTTTAGAAAGGAGTCGACGAAAAAAAAAAAAAATAAATAACAGATAGAGAATAGAAAAGGGTAATATAGAATAGTCGGAAAATATGGAATACCGAGGTTTCGGCTCTGTTTGTTGCTGCTATTATGTGGGAATACCATGAACTACTCAAGAAAGACTCCCACAATGCAGTGCAGTGAGAGTTGACGCTTGTTGTCGTCTTACCACTCGCTACAGAATAAAGTGTGTTTTGTGATTTTCAAGAGTTTTTACAGGCAAGTTTTCAAACATTTTAACCTACTAGTACACACGTGACTTGAACATTGATGTTAAGCATAATGTACACTAAAATAATTGTAGTTTGTTATAGTGTAGTCGTTTTTTAGCTGACAATGTTTCGTCCATCAGTTTAAAGGTTCATTTTTCAAAATAGCGTGTCGGGTATTATGGAATACTAGGATAAATGGATAAACTGAAAGAAAAGGACAAAAAGAAGGAACCAGAAGCTTCAAAACAACAAAAGAAACCGAACATTCAAAGACCACCTGTTAAGAAATTAAACTTAGACCGACCTTCTAGACCTAAACCTACTAGAGATGACTCCAGTGTTAGCAGCGATGAATCGTTCCATTCTGATGTATCGTCTGTAATGGACTTCATGCCATTAACTGAAGAACCGGAAAACGAAGATGCTGAATGTATCTTCTGTAACGGAAAATTCTCAGAAGATGAACGAGGGAAAATTTGGATTCAATGCTTCAACTGTTCTCTGTGGGCTCACCTTGATTGCCAGAGCAGAGAAAGAAAATTATATCTGTGACTTTTGTTAATAGACTCGAAGCAGGAATAACATGCACATAATCTTAAAAATATGGTTTTTATAGTTAAAAATAACTATTTTTTATGAAGTCTAATTAGTTTTTCAATGATTTAAACCACCTATTCCATATTACCCTCCATTTGTGACTTGTTATAAAAAAATTATTTTAAAAAACAAAATAAATAGTACTTTTTTTACAAGTGACAGTTCATTACAAATTAGTTATAGTATGTACTCATGATGATTTTGGGATTTTTATTCAAAAATCAGTAAAGTTATTTTTAGAAATGTAAATGGTATTCCATAATACTATCCTCTCCTCTACATTAAAACTTTACGAATTTTATAATTATTTTAAAGTTTAATATTGTTTACATTAATATTTGGTTCTCTGATAGTCTGTACATGTTTGATAAAAATCTTGAAATCTTTTAATATAGAAATTTGAATAAAAGATAAAAGTACTATTTATTTTGCCAAGAACAATTACTATTGTGAAAACAATGAAAGGCGATTTTCTTTATAATAATTAATATAAACACTAAAATAGTGTGGCTGAGATTATGGAATGATCTTAATTTATTCGTTATATACTTAATATTTAGATCTTAGTGGACAATTATTGCTTTTAGAAAGATGTTTTATTCAATAACATACTGCTTTTTTGCAATATGCAATAATACCTCTTCAGTTGTACTATAAATCTACTAGACTATAACTAAGAATGTAAAAGTTACAATTATAATTATAAATTATATAACGCTATTTTTGTACCTTTCAACTACCATCCCATCTCCAAATTACGTAACATGTATCCTCGATTAATCCCTTAATTGTAGTAAGGAATAATGCACATCACGTAATACTTACTGAACGTTACATTATTTTACTATTGATAATTACGTACAAAACAGTGTCTTAGATAATAGAGTTCTGTTTGCAACTCTTCGGAAACAAAAGTGAATCATTTTGTTATCCAATGGTTCAGATCCTGGCATTAATTAATTAGGCCTTTTGTAAATACTCACAGAATTACAGTGAAAACGTCATTGAATTTTTTTTAGTTTAAATAAAATATTTATTTTTCAGATAATTTTGGTAAAAAGAGGAAAATTTAAAGAAGCTCTAGCATTATCAGAATTTGCAAGAGGGAGAGCTTTAAGTGATATTATTCGAAATAAAAACAAAGAATTTAAAAAATCTCTTAATACCTGGCTGTGGGATGATGATATTATCCTAAAGTAAGATTATTCTAATTTTAATATTTGATAACTAAGATTATAAGATTAAAATTTCTAATATTTAACTATAGGACGAAACTGGATTCAGAATTAGTCATTTCAATTATAGATGATTTTTACAAGAAAGCAGATGAACTGAAGAGTACATTTTTGGTGTATTCTATAGTAAATGATCGAAATCAGTTACACAAAATTCAAAGATGGATTTATTGTTGGGTAGTCAAATGTAAGGATGATTTAAGGTCGAACGAAGAACGCATTACTTTCAATAGGTATCTTTTAGAAGATAAACTAGCTCAGAATAAATTGATTGATGATCCGAAATTCTTCAGTAGTTTATGCCGATCTTTTGGAGACGTCAGTATTTCCGACGGTAAAATATTTATTAATTTTAAAAAGACAATTTATTAGAGTTTAGAAAATGCAAAATACTTATGTGACTAGTTTCATTATTTTTCAGATTTTCAGAAAAATGAGAAGAAAGAGATTATACATGATAAAAATTCTATTATTGTTAATTTTCCTGAAAGCGAAGATGCTATCAAATTTCGAGATTTATTAAGTTCGATTGGTTTTTTAAATCTTGAAGATAGCAAAGATACGACAAATGAAGAAAATACTCGTTGCGCAGAAAGAAATATTAAAGATGAAAAAGAAAAAGTAGACATAGAGGAAAATATGGTATAGAATTTTACTTATTTTTATGTTATTATATTCGTAAACCGAAATTTTAGATTATGTGTATATTTTTAAGCCGCGGATCTCTTTACGAGGTAACTGGGAGGATGAAGGAATTCAGCAATTGAAGTTTTTATACGATATTTGTATTGGGCCTGTAGAGCATCTATTACCTGATTTTCGATCAGAGAAAAGAATAACGCGTTTGATTATTATTCCTCACGGTAATGATTTAAATTCTTTAAAATATTTAAAAATGTAATCGATATTTTAAAGTTACATTTTTTTATTTCTTAGAGTATCTCTTCAGTGTTCCATTCTGTGCTCTTCGTAATTCAAAAGGGACATTTTTTATTGAACGTTTTTGTATTTCGTATGCTCACAGTCTTCGAACTTTAATAATGCTTCATCAAAGATTGAATTTACTTAAAGAAAAACAAGAGAATCGTCCATTAAAGGTATAGTTAACTAATTTATGATTTCTCCGAGCGAAAGAATATTTTATTTTTTTTATTCAGAAACCTAATTTAATTTATTTAATTTTGTTCATTTTTTTAAATGATTTCTTTATAATTTACGGTTTGTACTGCAAGTTATAAGTAATTAAGCTGGCGTATTTTTATTGTAGTTGAATATTCTATTTCACAAAATTAATTTAAAATAAATAAATATTTTATTTTAAAATACAAGTACTGAATATTTCAACGCATAAAATAATTAAAATTACTCTAAATTAAGATACTTTTTTAAAAAAAAAAAGTATCTTTTTCTACTCGCTTCCTAACAAAATTTAAAATTACGCTACGTTTTATATTTACTACAATTATTTATTTACTTATCTATATATATAATCGAGACGGGTTGATAATAATAATGATAATAATAATAAGCGCAGAGCCCAAACGGTTAGGAGTTGAAAGTTGAAATTTGGTACACAGTTAGGGTACGTTAGGAGAACGCACACTAAGAAGGGATTTTTCGAAATTCCTCCCCACGGGGGAGAGGGACAGGATTAAGGCTTAACACTTCCATCAACAATGGAAGTGTTAAGTAACAATGGAAGTGCTAAGTAACAATGGAAGTGTTAAGTAACAATGGAAGTGTTAAGTAACAATGGAAGTGTTAAGTAACAATGGAAGTGTTAAGTAACAATGGAAGTGTTAAGTAACAATGGAAGTGTTAAGTAACAATGGAAGTGTTAAGTAACAATGGAAGTGTTAAGTAACAATGGAAGTGTTAAGTAACAATGGAAGTGTTAAGTAACAATGGAAGTGTTAAGTAACAATGGAAGTGTTAAGTAACAATGGAAGTGTTAAGTAACAATGGAAGTGTTAAGTAACAATGGAAGTGTTAAGTAACAATGGAAGTGTTAAGTAACAATGGAAGTGTTAAGTAACAATGGAAGTGTTAAGTAACAATGGAAGTGTTAAGTAACAATGGAAGTGTTAAGTAACAATGGAAGTGTTAAGTAACAATGGAAGTGTTAAGTAACAATGGAAGTGTTAAGTAACAATGGAAGTGTTAAGTAACAATGGAAGTGTTAAGTAACAATGGAAGTGTTAAGTAACAATGGAAGTGTTAAGTAACAATGGAAGTGTTAAGTAACAATGGAAGTGTTAAGTAACAATGGAAGTGTTAAGTAACAATGGAAGTGTTAAGTAACAATGGAAGTGTTAAGTAACAATGGAAGTGTTAAGTAACAATGGAAGTGTTAAGTAACAATGGAAGTGTTAAGTAACAATGGAAGTGTTAAGTAACAATGGAAGTGTTAAGTAACAATGGAAGTGTTAAGTAACAATAAAAGTTTTAAGTAACAATGGAAGTGTCAACAATGGAAGTGTTACGTAACAATGGAATTGTTAAGAGAAAGCGACGTGCAAGACGCAGATGCAGTTTTTTTCGTTTTTGCGGGAAATCGAACATATTTTTAGACCCATCTAAAAATTCTCTAATTAGTCTGGAAACAAGGGGACCCAATTCTTGCATTCTGTGAAAACGGGTAAGGTTTACTGTAACGTAATAATCTTTATCTTAGTTATCGTTACTTTTGCCCGAGCAACGCCGGGTCCACCTGCTAGTTTATTATATATTAATTATTTTAAATCGTCTAACTGTGTTACTTACGTTCCTTCCTGTCTAGCATCATTCTTAATATGTCTTCGTTGAAAAAAATAGAAAAAAAAATTAAAAATTAATTAGATAAAATTTCAAAAATTTAATTTACAAATTTAATAAGTTTGTATCAGTATTAATTACAAATTATAAAAATTGCATAAACTAAAAATTTTTTAAATATTATTTAGTAATTCACGTAAACATGTTTAATGAGATGCTACCTTAATATCTTTTAATTAAATTTCAGATATTCTCGGTGGGAAATCCCAAATTAGCTTCTGGAAAATTTTCTAAGTTAACGTTTGCAAGTAAAGAGGCATTAGAAGTTCAACGTATATTTGGCAAAGAAAATTGCAAAGTTGCTCTTGAAGAGGATGCCACTAAGAACCTAGTAATTAAAATGCTTCAGGAAGTTGATATTGTTCATTTAGCAACTCACGCCTATCCTGAAGATCCGAAAGCTTATGAAGTAAGAATTAATTTTTTTTTTGTTTTTTTTTAGCAATTGATAATTATATAAATGTAGTATACTTCATAAAGATAAAAACAGCCGATAAATAAGGTATAAAATATGAAATTATTCATTTATATATCTGATATAAGAAAAAATATAACTAATGTCTTATTGGTGAAATTATACAAATTTATTGAATATTTATATCCTTCCTATGAAAAAAAGAATTAGGATAAACTAAATTAGTATTTTATTTTATCTTTTATTTTTTTTCTTATTGTATTTTATTGAAATTAATTTTGTAACCCATCAAAATATAACAATAATAATCGAAAATTAGAAAAAAATTTAAACTTATTGTTTCAGTTAAAGAAAATTAACTAGAGAGATATTTGGATAAGATGAATTCACTTTTAACTGAGAATTATAAAAGGAATTAATTATTGTTTCTTGTTATTATAAAATAATATTGTCATCTTGATATTATTTTATGAATATTAGCCGAAATGTAAATATATTTTAGTCTTACTTTTCCTTTATAAAATATAGCCGCCCTCATTACATGCGATCTCTCTTTACGCTATTTTCCCACAACGATTTTTATGTATGTACTGTATACAGAAAATAATCTTTCAGGACTTTAACACTGTCCTTTTTTTAAGCGTGATGTTTCTGTGGACTGAACTTTGTTGACCTTTTTTACAGCTGTGCGCATTTGAAAACGAATAACTTTATGGTTTTTTATTATAAGATTATATTAAAGATCATTCTCTCCTTTTTATTTGATATATAGAGTAATAAGTAAGAATTTATTGTTATAGATTTGATTACGTTTGGCCTATATTTAAATTACAAAGAAACAAACGCAAAAATAAATTTATTTTATCCTTTTTATAATTGCACCGTTTGAAACATCCGAGTTCAATTCTGATTGGGTAATGGTTTATTTTCATTCTGTTTATTGTTTTCTATCATTTAACAAGGTGTTATGATAATATATATAAAACGCTATTTTAATTTTTGGTTTTGTTTATATATCATTCCGGTAAATACGCGAATTAATCTCCATAAAAGTGTATTAAACCGCAATAATTCTAATATTTTTGCTTATTTGTATTTATGTTTTAAATGAATTAAAACATATCGAAATTTTTCAATTTTTTATATCTATTTAGAAATTTGAACTTAAAATTTTGTCAATAGATGGAGCAAAGTGTATGTTACTTACAATAGGACGATGGCATAGGAAATAACGAGCAGGCACGTTTAAACCAAAAGTTATGGGTATAATGCAGTTGGAGTCAAGGAACATTATCGTATCTCCCACGGGAGCTATTCTGAAAGTTAAAGAATGTTTTCTGTATATATATTAAATACTAGCTTACCCGTCACGCATTGCTGTGATCTCAGAAGAAACGAAATGCAAACAAACTCGTTATGATAAAATTAAATTTACATTTTATCATTTTTATTGAAACTTATTATTATTATTCATTTTCATCGGGAAAACATTTCAAAGTGTCGTTTCAATTCTATTTATTTATTGGAGTGCTTTGTGGATACACGATATTTTTTGTTTTTCTGTCTGGTGCGTACACGAATAAATCAGAAAGTTTTCCTACGCGTCAGCTGGCCACATACACTTGTACATGCGAGAAGCACGGATTCTTTAAATTTAGCCCACATACTTGCAGAGATTGTTAGAAGTGCGATAGTCCCCATTTTTATATATATATTTTTAATCTATATCTATATTCTATATTCTATATAATATAATAAAGAGGTAATGTTTGTATGTAAGTTTCGTTGCAGCAGGTAATCTCCGAAACTACTCATCCGATTTCAAAAATTCTTTCACCAATATTTAAAATGGAACTTCAGGGTGGACATAGGCTGTATATTATTCCGTTAAACATTTATATAAATTAAAATATATAATCTAGGTTAAGGCTTTTATGTCCAACAGATGGCGCTACGAGTACGACGCCCTAAGTTTGCTTTTCTGCGAGGCATTATGCTTTTCTGTGAAAATGAACTAAAGCGGATCATCTTCTATCTATCTATATAAATAAAAATGTCATAATGTTCGTTTGTTCCTACCGATTCCTTTCAAATTTTGACATAACGCTGCATTCGAATACTCACGTGTTTTTATATAATATACATGTCGAAATTCCCCCCACTGAAGGGAGATGGTTAGGATTAAGGCTTACCGTGAAGAACTCTGCTTCTATTTATACTATTTTAGATACGGTTTTTTGCGTTTTTTATTGCGTTTTAATAGGGTACGTCAACAGAATGTACACTAAGAAGGGATTTTTCAAAAAATTATTCCCCCATGGGGAAGTGTTATACATTTATAATAGATACATTTTGAGCCACAACAACGCGTGGCGGGGTCTGCTAGTCCTTTATAATTTTGATTATTTAATTTCTCCTTCCTCTCTTCCTTGGCATGTTGTGAAATTTCTGATAGTTGAATAATAAACCGTTTTATTGTAATTTGTCTTTTTTAAATTATTTTGAGTCGATATTAAAATTTGGAAAAGGGGGATCCCTAGATCGGTAAAATAGGTGAATTTCTTCCTACAACTTCGAGTTCGGGGTACAGTTAAGGTTCTAACAAAGTTCGAGCGAATACATAATTAGCAAAAAAAGTTGAAATAAAATGATTAAACAAAAATTATTACAAATATCGTAAATAACAAATGCATAGGCCTATATACAGATATTTTTTGGAGGGGGGAAATGATCTTCACAATTTGAAATCGATCGAACACACAGTAAAATGCTCGTATACATGCGCGCCATCTATCGTAAGATAAATGTACTATGCCAGAAACCTTCGCGGGAGTATATTAAACAACTTCCCAACGTTTCATGGCAATCGGATAAATGGTGCGGTAATGCATGAAGGACAGACACACAGACATACATTCCTTTATATATATGTTACCGCTAAAGCTCGAAATCCGTTAATGTGTACATTACCTAGCTAATCTGCAGATTAACTAGGGTGATCCGTTAAAGTTGCGAAAATTATTCCATTTCTCAAATTACCTAGGTAATCTGCAGATTATCTAGGTAATCTGCGAATTACCTACTAGGCACTCGGCAAAGTTAAAATAAGATCTTTGCTGGAACAACAGCAACGTTTCTGTACGCTTAAATTAACATAATGTTCTTTATTTAATTTTCAATATCTAAAGAATCAAGTTAATACAATCAACAAATTAGTTGATTGAATCAATCATCAATCAATTAAAAAAACTTTAATACAAAAATCAAACGGTTTAAAATATT